TATGTCATGTAAGCGCGAGTGTTATGATTGTCTCATTGTAAAATTTCCACGTGTAGTCCCATTATTATATGACGTACTATACGTTTTGCACACACGCGCGTTGGTATGATGACTATAACGTAATAATCCTTTTTGAAAAAAAAATTTAATTCAAAATATTTAGTAATAGAGCGTTATAAAAAATGTTGATGCCTCATCGTTCTAGAACCTAGAGGTACTCGGATAAAATTTCAATTCATTTATAGGTACATGATTTAACAATCGTATTATAAAAATTATTTAATGAACAAATAAATAATGGTATGTTAAAAATATGTTTTTTTAAATTATTCGTACATACACTGAATAGTCGTAAATAGGAATTGAATAAATTAATAGGTAATATTAAAAGAATAATAAAATACGATTACCTAATACGTGTAAATATTATTTAAAATAACACATTTAGGTACTTCAATAGTTTTAATTAAAATGCATGGTAATAAAAAATAAAATTCTKAAATCTATAAATAGAGGCGGTCTTTAATTATTGATCGTTAAAAAACAAAAAAGATAGTTTATGCATTACTCAAAAAAATTGCGTAAATATTATATAAAGAACAAGAAAAAATAAATACATAAAATCATAAGATGTCCTTTATCTTAGATTATATTACATAATAATCTTATAGATTTATTTATTTATTCCGATATTCAAATAGACAGACATGACCTTACAAAAATAAAAACAAATAATAAATTATAGTAAAATGTTAACAGTGTATATTATAATATGAAATTATAAGTAGTAAAAATACAGTGAAAAAATCCATAATCAGTATACTGTGAGTCATTATACCTACTCTGAAGACAGAATTTTGTATGTAAAATGTAGAGGGCATTTAAATTTTAAATATTTAGTGGAYTAGCAAATCGAAATATTCATTACCATATTATTAATAACCGATCACTTTTCTTTTATCTAATTGTACTCAGTTACTTATATTAAAAACATTAATTCAGAGGCAATATATTTCCATTATGTCATATGTGTATTTACTATATTGACATGACATACAAAATTAAGAATAATTTATTTCATTGGACGTTAAGCACGTTTTGAATTAAAATTGATAGGGATCAAAAATGATTAATCAATTGACATTATGTACCTACATAATATTAATATATTGCTGTAAATTATTTCAAAACAGACCAAAGATCATAAACGCAATACAAATAAAACGTGCCATTAWAATGTTTTAGTACAAGAATAACATCATACAACATGTTTTATGTTTTATTATATGTGTATGCTGTAATGTAACATGTGTTAATTATTTTAATATCGGCAATACAGCAAGATAAAATATTGTTTTCTGTGTAGGTAATTATAGGTGTCTATGCATGTTTTCATAGTAAAATATATTGGGTACAGTTATTACCTCGTAATTAGTATACGATATCTAATAATTATTGTAAGTATAAAAAGTTAGTTGGTTTATGTAATAATCTCTTATGAAAATAGTTATATTGTTATAGTTTAATATTTATGATCTGTATGATACAATGTGCAGAGGTTAAAATTTTAAGATTCAAATTTTGTAACTTTATAGAATTAAAGTGGAAATTTGACTTTCATTCAATTTCAATATCATGCACACTCAGAAGTGTCAGCATGGAAGTGTTCACACTTTGGGTCAGTAAATTTTGTATTGTTAACTGTCTTGAATTGATTTTCACACGAGACTTAAGGTGTGTAGACCACTGTTTGATACTTTGCTTGCATATATAATTTGTCATGTGTTTTTTCTTAAGAGAGTTAAAAGTTTTTCTAACTTTTGTAAGTCATAGTCACTGTTAAGTAATATATTATTTATGGACCAGGGAACTTACATATTTAAAAAAATAGTTTTAAAACCGATATATAGGATGATGTTTGTGTATATAGTGATGCCTCATTATTGACATTATATAGTATATAATATATACAGTTTCAAATTATGGACGAAGAAAATGCTTGTAGTTATTTTTTTTTTATTTTTTTTTTATCAACTACATAGGTTATTAGCTTACATGTGTTAATTTCTACATTAAATGATTATATGCTATTGTACAATTCTATTTTTTTAAAGTATAAAATTATGCTATGAAAGTTTGAAAATGGACCAATTGCTTCGTACAGGTTGTCTGGGATATTGAAATCTTTTCTAGCTTAGTTGAAGTTTGGGCAGTGGATGATGATATGTTTGATGGAGTAGTTTGTATTGCATGTTGGGCAAAGGGGTGGATCTGTCTTTGCCATAAGATGTCCGTGTGTCAGTTTCGTGTGGCTTGTAGTTATTATTGACGGTGTGAGATATTGATTTTAAACGGTATTATTATAATTTATATTAAGTGGTATAAAATATAAATATAATATGTCTGCTGTTGAATTAAAGATGTAAATTTTATTTTTTGGACAAAATACAACTGATACGTTAAACACGTTTYTGCAAAAAATAATTAATAAACGAGTTCTTTAAAAAAAATGTTTTCTCTAAAGTATACAAGTATATTCTAAATATGTATATATTTATCATATTTTGGCTATGTTTACTCAGTATTTAATGGCTACCTATATATTTACTTATCATACAGAGTCATTACGAAGAAATATTGATTGGCAACCAATTTATGGACAGTCATCTTCATAAATACTTGATTGAACACTTGAATGCAGAGATATTTTTGGGTACGATCTACAATGTAACTACTACAATGGATTGGATAAGATCTACGTTTTTATATGTCCGAGCATGTAAATCGCCTCAAAATTACGGAATGATCAAAAACCTTAATGTCCAAGAAATAGAAAACAGGCTACTAAGTTAGTGTATAAAATGTATAATTGTCATTTAATCAACTAAATACTATACAGACCCCAGCTGGTTGCATATTTACATTGAATTTGAAGCTTTTTTAAAATATTTTTTTTTTTAAACCTACTTAATATTATTTAGAATATAATTTATTTTTACCGAAGATTTTCTATGGAAATCTGTTTTAATAATTAATTCCCATGTATGACAACATGATCAGGTAAATTTGTACTCATCGTAAGTATTAGTGACAATTGTAAATTAATATAAAAGTCAAAATGTATAAGTAAAAAATTATTATTGTACGTGTTTTTAGACATTTCATACTAGTAACTCATACTAGAGTGCGTGAAATAATTGTAGCGATGATATCAATATAGATTTCATTGAACAATATGAATAAAACACTTAGAATACTTAATTTTTTCTACTTAATGAATACTTTTGACTACCTATTTATTTTCATGTCGTAGATAGTATTGAGAACCACCTTACTTACGTACAATGAATAATCCAATAAGTTATTGAATATTTCAGGTTTATGTTTAACGGAGTTCAAAGCATTAGCATGCACAGGGTTAATCAATTTTGTCGATGGAAATAATGAAATCACTGCAAAACCAGAATGCGAAATAATGGCTAAGCATTCAATAAGCTTTGTAACAATGAAAAAATATATGCAAGTATGTATTAAATATGTTTCCAATATTATTCATACACAGATACTGCAGAGTACTAATTCATTGAAATTTTTAGATTAGGATAATAGTCATTAAAAATAGTTTAACACTTTAAAAGACACAAAATAGATGTAATATTGGGTATAGAATTTTTAATGGTTGAACTAATTTTACAAACTATAAATGTTTATTGATCAGTATTAATTACTAGAGTTTTCAATTCACCATAGTTCTGTGGTGCTTTCAACAATCTTCCAAATCCATTATCATGTTTCTTATTATTGTCATTTCACAAAGTTACTTATAATTACAGAATAAAAAGAGGGTAGGGGTTTTATTTAAAAAATAGGAGTTTTTAATTCCACAGGAAAAATAGTTAGGCTAGTTCAGAATTAATTAATAAAATAAAAATGAGTATGAGCATACTTGGTGAGTCACTCTGTATAGTATTCATTATTAATCAAGGCATGAGTAATATTTTTAAATAGTTGTCAGTCTCTATATAAAAAATATATCTTTATTTTGAACATCCATTTATTTAGTTTATGGAATAAAATTGAGCATCTTTCACAGTTATTTTATAAGTTTAATAGTTTTAAGGGATTTACCTCTTCTTCGATAATATAGGTAACTACTATTATAGTTTTAAAAAGTGGCAAAATGATAGGAATTACAGCGTATCGTTTTGGTTGTGTTAACATTTATAATTGATAAATATTTACACATGTTATCGACATATATAAAATATACTCGTTATAATAATTTTTAACTCGTTATTCTAATTTTGAGTTAATTAAACTAAAAAAAATATTTCTATCAGTATATGGGTACCAAAAATAATGACAATTTGAACTAGTGAAAATTATCCTATTTTGTTTTTGTTAAAAAACGTATAACTAGCGTCTAGCTGTTATTATTGTGTGATGTTATTGACATTTATCTAGCTAAAAGGAACTGAGGACTTAAATGATATGATACAAATATTGGCTCATTCTAAAGAATTCGAGCACATCAAACTGAGAAGATCTGAAAAACGAATTTTAAATATTTTAAATAATAATAAATTACCTGGCGCAAATGTTATACGATTTCCCATCGAAGAAGGGATAAACACTCAAGAAACTAAAATCAATTGGTAACTTTTTTATCTATACATTTAAAATCGATACTTCGTTTACATTTATTCAATTGATTTTGTTTATGACTTCAAACTAATTTGTCCTTTTTTTATAGTCTTTTACAAGCAACCCTAGGGACGTTAAAAATTGCTGACAGTTCGCTAACACAAGATGCCAGTAAAATAATTTTAATTTCAACACGATTAACTAAAGGTATAGACAATAGACTGCAAGCTATAGTACTGTAGTATTAAGTGTCTATGTCACACGTGACTAAGATATTTATATGTTTCAGCCTTAAGAGATATCACGTTCAAAGGTACAAAATTTGAAACAGCTCGAGCCGCGTGCATTTTAGCAAAATGCGTGACGACGAAATTATGGGAGCAATCAAAGTTTGTTTCGAAGCTTATTCCAAGAGTAGGACAAGTCTTATCAGGAGATTTTGTATTAAATGGAAAAACTACATTAAAATCAATTAGAGATACAGATCCTAGAGATTTAGAACGGGTAAGTTGTGCAACTTAAGTGCATATTACTTAATGCGAAGTTATGTGCAAAACAGTTTGGATATCGTGTAGTGATTTTCCATGCAAAAAGTACCTAAGTACATCGTAGGTATCATGTGGATTAAATTAAATTTCAAATAAATGTTTTTTAATAATTTCTTAAACGTAAATTAGAGATTATTATTGAATATTTGAACTGATATTATCAYTAATTGATTAATGTACCATGATATAATTAAGAAAATGATTATTATACATTTTGTTAATACTTTTTAGCTTTTGTCACGAGTATAGAAATATTACGTATTATTACAAATATTTTTTTTAACTATTTATTTACATCCTTTGACTAGTTTATTAATGAATATGATGTTTATATAGGTAGTAGGTACCTATAACCTAGTAACTTTTCCGTGTATATAATGTATAGACCCATAAATGGGCATAGAAATTGTAAAGATGACACCGCGTTTATAGGACGCATCTTTTTTATTTTATTATCCTTGACCTGAGAGTCAAACCACTTGCATGGTATAGGTTAAATGAAAAATAAAAAATGACAAATTTAATTTTAAAACTTAAAAATGTAATGAAGAAATTTAAAATTATTAATTGCTATTACCAAATACGTGGTCTATGTTGATTGATATTAAAGTACCTACAAACCAATAGCCAAAAACCGAAATACAGTTAATAATTTTTACAGGTAATATTTTTATGAGCAAAGA